ACCGCCGCAGCGGCGGGCCGCAGCCCTCCAGGTGCACCACTCTCTGAGCTGCGTCCGCATCCAGGCCCAGGACCCCGAAGCCGCACTGGTCGTTGACAGAGGCTCCATCTTCTCGGGGGTCGATGCAGCAGGAGGCAGGAAGGCTGCAGGCCTGCACCCCGGGGGAGCTGCAGTTAAAGTACCTGCAAAGCGCACGGAGGCGTCAGTTCTGGCGGGGAGGGCCCGCTCTTCTGGGACCAGGCACAGAAGCGAATGTTGCCTACCCACCTTCACCCTTCCATGGCCACACAGGCACATGCACACACGTGCACACATCCGCATATTCGCACACGCGCCTGCACACACGGACACACACAGCACCTGGCTCTCTATAGCGTATCCCTGTGCATGGCAGTCCTCTGCACTTGCAGGTAGGGGTGGTGGCTGTGTTGACTAGCAGGAGGATATTTAATGAGACGGTTGAAGGGGAAACAGACAAGCATTGATGAGAGGACCTCCCTCCGCAGAGGCTGCTGAGTTCATTGAGAAGGTAGAGTTGGAGCGGGGGAGGGTGGATGAAACTCTGGCAGAGGCTTCTGGAATGGTCCACAGGTCTTACTGGGAAGAGCAAGGGCTTGAGAGGCAGTACCAGGCAGTGACAGAACGCAGGGGCAGGGGAGGAGCTCCCAGGGTGGCTGGGGAGTGTTGATCTCATCACAGCCCAGGTCAGGCAGTCCCCAGGTGCCCTAGGCATCCACTGGTGTCCGGGGCTCTGCACACAGGCCCAGCAGACCTGCAGGCTCATCCCCATGCCCTCTCCACTCTAGAAGAGCGTTCTCCACTTAGGCAGGGGAGGGGGTCGAGGCCAGCAGCAGACGTGGCATCACGACACTAGGGGGGCTGCCACCAACCCAGTCACATGTGGCCAAAAAGCAACCTATGTGGTGCTTCGCAGAGTCTGGAAGGACCCCACCTGTTAGCCACTGCTGGGTCCCGATGGCCAGTTTTCAGGGTCGCCTATGACTTCATCTGTTGTGTTCAGCTGCCCCTGATACCTGCACCAAGAAGGCTTGGGGGACAGAGTGCATATCCTCTGTCCTGGGTGTGGCATGGAGAGTACGTGCTGCTCGGGGTGTGCATGCGCTGAGGATAGCTAATGAAACAGACAGCTACCCTCCCTGCAGTGAGCCAAGATCGAGCCACTGCACTCCAGCCTGGACAACAGAGCGAGACTCCATCAAAAAACAAAAACAGACAGCTACCCTCAAGCAGAACATAAGAAAATCCTGCACTGGATCTTAAATGGACAGCGTTTAATCACACTCACGGTGGAGGGAAACTGTGGAGTCAGATTCCAGAATAATGTCCAGAATTCATCTAAAAGTCATTCCCTCCCTCCCTCCCTCCCTCCCT